AAGAAGAAGGAGAGATGAGTTTTGATAATGAAAGACTGATAGCACAGCTCTTTGTCAATGCACAGTCATACATCCCAGTCAAGCAAATTAAGAATCAGCAAATACTTGAGCGCCATTTAGAGAGGAGACGAACTCAAACTTGGACCTACGATTGGCAACGACCAAAGGAGATAAAGATGTTTTTGAAAAAGTAGCTATTTCCTCAGAACATTCCATAGTGTGAATAACTATATTTAGAGTTATTCCATTGGTCCCTAAGGGCCGATTGCCCAGGCCTCAAGAAAAGCCAAGGCTGGAAGATACTCGGCTAAACTGTGTGCAGCTCTAGTGCGACTCCTGGCATCCACATACCCCACCCTGTCCTGCTTCGGGGGCAGAGGGAGCACGAGTCTTCCGCCTTCTACGTCTTCAGTGGGCTTGAGTTCTTGCTACCATCACATATGCACGGGACAACACCCGTCACTAGCAGGTCCTCATCTGGACACGCCCTCTCCGCCCACCCACCAATTCCTTTGTTTGGTCCCTGCTCCCCTATATCGCACCTCCCGTAACATAAGCTCTAGACAGAAAAAACTAAAAACGAGACCCGCTAAGTCCACCCTGGTTCTTTGCTTAAATTTGGGCAGAGATCTGGGGTATAGGTTAAGAGATTTTCCAGGTATGAGAGAGATGCCACTGTGGGGCATTCAAAAAAATCAACGGAATGATACTTGAGGTTTTAAAATGCAGAAGGGATAAAGAAACTTTGGTCAAATGCCTACTTTGCTTTCATTTCCTTTCATTTCCCGATTTCTAGCTTTACTGAGAGAACCATCCAGAGCTTCCAACTACATGAAGGTCAAGCGTACAGCTTGTGTACACTGAACAGCACTGTGCAGCTGGGTTTTTCCAGAAGAATTAAACGTATTTTTAGCGGTGCTGGTGAGAGTCAGAGGAGGAGGTTATAAAGGTCACGAGAGAGGAGGAGCAGCGGGCTGGCGGATCACCCAAAACGGGAGAGGAGACTTGAGTGCTAGGCTAAGGCACCTCTGATCTCATTTTTCCTCGCCTGTCAAAGGAGATAAAAAAATGCCTATTCTGCCCACCTCTAAGGGAGAAGGGAGTAAGATAATTGGTAAAACATTGTTTTGGAAAATAAGCAACACTACTTATAGAAGTAGCAAAGTGTAATTTATGCTGTGCCCTAGACCATTGACAGGGATGCATATTGAAGCTATCCAGGTGCAAAAGCACATTTTGGAAGTCACCAAGTTAGAGCCAATAAAACCTAAGAACAGAAAAATACCTAAAAGCACCTGTGTTTTGGATAGAAAAGCTTAAGATTCAGAACAAGAGTTGGACAGCCCAAGAATAGAAGAGCCCTCTCATCCGTTAGAACGGTTGGGTAGCAGCTTCTGGTTAGGGAACAGAAACTCAGAGGCTCCAAATAAAACTTTTTCAGAAATCAGCATCACTTGTACTCTTACACACTTATAAAAAACAACAAAATAAACAAAAAGGTATCTCCACCTGTCCTATAAGACAAAGGGCACCTGAGACCTATCGCACGTAAAGTCAGCTTATACACTGTGATGCACTATGTGAACAGGTTTCATTTTGGGGTAGTTGACTTAATAATGTAACTGAGAATCTGACTTTTAACAAAGGAATAGTTGTTAGAAATTTAGGGATCTGAACTCTGAATGAGCAAAAATAATGCAATGACATCATTAGTTTAAAAATTTACCATTGTTAGGGTGCCTGGGTGGCCCAGTCAGTTAAGCATCCGACTTTGGCTCAGGTCATGATATCACAGTTCAGCCCCGCATGGGGCTTGCTGCTGTCAGTGTAGAGCCTGCTTCGGATTCTCTGTCCCCCTCACTCACTCTCTGCCCCCTCCCAGCTCACGCCCGTGAAGGCTCTCTCTCTCAAAAATGAATAAATATTAAAAAAAATTATCATTGTTGATTAAAAATAAAAGTTAAACCACAAATAAAATAAAAATTTACAAATTTATCATCAGGCAATTAGGACTTACCACAACGTGTGCCATTTGTCAGACATGAACTGTCACAATGTAGCTTGACTGTCTTACAGACAACCTCAATAGTATTTTTAAATTGGCAGAGACAGCAGGCCATATGGCTAGGTAATATCCTATAAATGGAAACACAGAGAATTAAATTAGTGGCAAAGGAGTTACTTGAGTAGGTAGAAGAGGCGGGCCAAAGTCATCACAGGGCTGTGCAAAAAGGAATTCTTGAGGCACATGGCCTGGATAGTTGGGTAGGGACCAGTTGGCCAACTGCTGCTCTTGAATAGTATAAATACTCAGATAGAAGGACAGAGGTGCCCAACAGAAAGGTAAGGATGGCATGGGGTATGGTATCCTTAGAATGAGATAGAGATTAGAACTGGGTGACACGGATCGGTAGTTTCATACACAGGTAACTCCTTCCAAGCCAAAAGTCTCACTTTGGGTGGAGAGCACACAGAAAGAGGGTAGACTTCTAAGAGTTTGAATAAATCTGAAATATGGCCCATACTGAGGATAACAAGCAATCAGCTTTGGCTCAGGTCATAATCTCGTGGTCATGGGTTTGAGCCCCACATCAGGCTCTGTGCTGAGAGCTCGGAGTCTGGAACCTGCTTCAGATTTATCCTCCTCTCTCTCTACCCCTTCCCTGATCACTCTCTGTGTCTTAAAAATGAATAAATGTTAATTTTTTTTTTAAAAAGCAATCAATCAAAACCTAATCCATAATCTACACAAATGCTACAATTAGCAGACAAGGACATTTAAAAAAGTTATTATAACAGTATTTCATATGTGGAAAACACCCCATGCCTCTACTTAACTCAATGGATTGTGCAACAACTTCAAGTGGCCTAATATATGTATACTTAGAGTCCACGAAGGAGAGGAGATATAAAAAAAATTTGAAAAAATAATAGCCCCCACATTTCCAAAGAAGTAAACCCTATAAACTCACAAATCCAGGAAGGTCAATGAACTCTGAGCACAACATGGATTAAACTACATTTTTAGTTTAATCCATTAAACACGGATAAAACTACACCACGGCACATCATAATCAAACTGGTCAAAGCCAGCGATAAAGAGCAAGTCTTAAAAGCAGCCAAAGGAACAAAACCACACACGACATACAGAGCAACAAAGATATAACAATGACAACATATTTCTTGCTGGAAATAATGTAGGCCAGAACTCGGTGGGGCAACATCTTTCAAGCAGTGAAAAGGAGAGGGGGACCAAATAGCTAGGAAGCTAGAATTCTATACCCAAAGCTTTCAAAAATAAAAGCAAGATAAAGACTATCTGAGACATACAAGAGCTGGAAGAATTCATCATTAGCAGGCTTACACTGTAGAAATGCCAAAGGAAGTATTTTTTTTAATGTTTATTTGAGAGAAGAGACAGAGAGAGAGGGCACGTGCAGTATGCGTGTGCAAGGGGGAAAGAGCACTGAGGAGACAGAGAATCCCAGGCAAAGCCCAACGCGGGACTTGAGCTCACAAACTGTGAGACTATCACCTGAGCCACAATCAAGAGTTGGATGCTTACCTGACTGAGCCACCCAGGTGCCCCTAAAGAAAGTATTTTTAAGCAGAAGGAAAAGGGTAGCAGACGGAAATGTGGATCCACACAAAGGAATGAAGAACATTAGAACTGGTAACTATATAGGTTATGATTTCACTTCACTATATGTATGTATATCATTTCACTATATGATTTCACTTATATGTAGAATCTCAGAAAAAACAAACAAACAAGGGGTGCCTGGATGGGCTAAGTCAATGAAGCATCCTACTCTTGATGGCGGCTCAGGATCTCAGGGTCGTGAGATCGAGGCCTGTGTCAGGCTCCACGCTCAGCATGGATTAGATTAAGATTCTCTTAAGATTCTCTCTCTCTCTCTCTCTCTCTCTCTCTCTCTCTCTCTCTCTCTCCTCTGCCCCTCTCCCCAACGTGTATACTCTGTCTCTAAAATTAAAAAAAAAATACACCAAAAACCATAAGATACCTAGGAATAAACCTAATCAAAGAGGTAAAAGATCTGTATGCTGAAAACAATAGAACGCTTATGAAAATAAAGTGAAGAAGACAGAAAGAAATGGAAAAACATCCCATGCTCAAGGATTGGAAGAACAAATATTGTTAAAGTGTCTATACTACTCAAAGCAAACTACACATTCAATTCAATCCCTATCAAACACCAGTATTTTTCACAGAGCTAGAACAAACAATTCTAAAATTTGGATGGAACAAGAAAAGACCCCGAATTATAATGTTGGGAAAAAACCAAACAAAGCAGGAGGCATCATGATTCTGGACTTCAAACTGTATTACAAAGCTGTAATCATCAAGACAGTATGGTACTGCACAAAAACAGACACATAGATCAATAGAATAGAATAGAGAACCGAGAAATGGAGCCACAAATATATGGTCAACTAATCTTCGATAAAGCAGAATATCCAATGGAAAAAAGATAGTCTTCGCAATAAATGGTGTTGGGAAAACTGGACCGTAACATGCAGAAGAATGAAACGAAACCACTTTTTTACACCATACACAAAAATAAATTCAAAATGGATGAAAGTCCTAAATGTGAGACAGGAAACCATGCAAATCCTAGAGGAGAACACAGGCAGAAACCTCTTTGATCTCAGCTAAAGCAACTTCTTACTAGACATGTCTCCAGAGGTAAGGGAAACAAAAGTACAAATGAACCACTGAGGAGTGCCTGGGTGGCTTAGCGGGTTGAATGCCTGACTCTTGGTGTTGGCTCAGGTCGTGATCTCAGGGTCGTGGATTGAACCCCGCATCAGGATTCTCTCTCCACTTGAGATTCTCTCTCTCCCTCTCTCTCTGCTCCCCCCCATGCATACATGTATGTGTGTGTCCATGTTCTGAATTAATTAATTAATAGGGGCACCTGGGTGGCTCAGCTGGTTAAGTAGCTGACTTGGCTCAGATCATGATCTTACAGTTCGTGAGTTTGAGCCCCGTGTCAGGCTCTGTGCTGACAGCTTGGAGCCTGGAGCCTGTTTCAGATGCTGTGTCTCCCTCTCTCTCTCTGCCCCTCCCCTGCTTGCACTCTGTCTCTCTCTCTCAAAAATAAACATAAACAAACAAACAAACAAACAAACAAACAAACATTTTTTTAAATGAATTATTGGGACCTCATCAAGATAAAAACCTTCTGGGGCACCTGGGTGTCTCAGTCGGTTAAGCTTCTGACTTCAGCTCAGGTCATAATCTCACGGTTTGTGAGTTCGAGCTCCGCATTGACTCTCTGTTGACAGTGCGGAGCCTGCTCAGATCCTCTGTCTCCCTCACTCTCTGCCCCTACCCCACTCTTGTGCTCTCTCTCTCAAAAATAAACATCCATTAAAAAAAGATAAAAAAGCTGTACAGCAAAGGAAACAATCAACAAAATTAAAAGGCAACTGATGAAATGGGAGAACATATTTGCAAATGACATAATCTGATCAAGGGCTAGTATCCAAAATATATAAAGGACTCAACACCCAAAAAATCAAATACATAATCCAGTTAAGAAAAGGGCAGAAGACGTGAATAGACAGTTTTTCAAAGAAGACATCCAGAAGGCTAACAGACACATGAAAAGATGCTCAATAGCACTCATCATCAAGGAAATACAAATCAAAATCACAATGAGGTACCACCTCACATGTGTCAGAATGGCTCAAATTAATAACTCAGGAAACAACAGATGTGGAGAAAGGGGAACCCTTCTGCACTGCTGGTGGGCATGCAAACTGCTGTAGCCACTCTGGAAAACAGTACGGAGGTTTTTAAAAAGTTAAAAATAGAACTACCCTACAACCCAGCAATTGTACTACTAGGCATTTAACCAAAGGATACAAAAATGCTGATTTGAAGGGGCACGTGCACCCAATGTTTATAGCAGCGCTATCAACAATAGCCAAAGTATGGAAAGAGCCCAAATGTCCATTGATGGATGAATGGATGAAAGATGTGGTATATATATGCAACGGAGTATTACTCGGCAGTCAAAAAGAATGCAATCTTGCCGTTTGCAACTACATGGATGGAACTGGAGGGTATCATGCTAAGTGACATTAGTCAGTGAAAGACAAAAATCATATCACTTCACTCATATGAGGACTTTGAGAGACAAAACAGATGAACATAGGGAAGGGAAACAAAAATAATCTAAAAACAGGGAGGGGGACAAAACAGAAGAGACTCATAAATACGGAAAACAAACTGAGGGTTACGGGAGGGGTTGTGGGAGGGGGGGATGGGCTAAATGGGTAAGGGACACTAAGGAATCTACTCCTGAAATCATTGTTGCACTATATGCTAACTAATTTGGATGTAAATGTTAAAAAATAAGAAATAAAACAAGGTAAAAAATAAACAAAAAATAAACAAAAAACCAAATGAATGAACAAACAACAACAAAAAAGAGAAAACACTTGTAAATATGGAGAACAAACTGGGGATATGGACAAAATGAGTGAAAAGGGTTAAGAGGTACAAACTTGCAGTTATAAAATAAATAAGTCACCAGATGAAAAGTACAGCATAGGGAATATAGTCAATAATACTGTAATATACTTATTGTGGTGAGCATTTCATAATGTATATAATGGATCACTGTGTTGTGAGCATTTCATAATGTATATAAAAGATCACTGTGTTGTACACCTGAAACTAATTTAATATTACATGATCTATATATACTTCAAGAAAAGAGATAATTGAGGGGCACCCAGGTGGCTCAGTCCGTTAAGCATCTGACTTCAGCTCAGGTCATGATCTCATAGTCTGTGATTTCAGGCCCCACATCAGGCTCTGTGTCTACAGCTCAGAGCCTGGAGCCTGCTTCAGATTCTGTGTCTCCCTCTCTCTCTGCCCCTCCCCCACTTGCACTCTGTCTCTCTCAAAAATAAAAAAATAAAAAAAGATAATTGACTATTTAAACAAAAAAAATAATATGGTGTGCTAAAAGTAAAATGTATGAGTACAATAGCACAAAGGTCAGGAGGGGAACAATGGAAGTACACTATTTATTGTAAGGTTCTTATACTATTCATGAAATGATATAATATCATTTGAAGATAGACTGTGATAAGTTAAACATGAACACTACAAACCATTAAACAGCTACTAAAATAACAAAACCTGAGTTGTAACTATTTATCCCCCCACCAAAAAATAATAAAACGTACTAAATCAACCCAAGAGCAGGAAGAAAAAGAAAAAAGAAAAGAAACAAAGAACAGACGGGATACATAGAAAAGAGTAGACAGTAGCTTTAAATGTAATCCTATAAATAATTACATTAACTATAAATGGTGCAATCACCTAATTAAAAGATAGAGTTGTCATACTGGATAAAAAAGCAAAAGCCAACTATATGCTGTCTATAAGATTCATCTTCAATACAAAGATATAAGTAGGTTAAAAATATGGAAGAAATTATGCTTTGCTAACACTAATCAAACGAAACCTTGAGTGGCTATGTTTACTATAGGACAAAGTCAATTTCAAAGTGAAGATATTACCAGGGATAAATGAGGTTATTCCATTGTGATAGCAATGTCAACTAATAGAAAAGACATCACTTAAAAATTTATGTATCTGATAATAGAACTTCCAAATATATTAAGGAGAATAGGAGAGAGACACATAAGTACACAATTAGAGTTGGAGATTTCAATATCCCTCTCTCAATAATTGACAGAAAAAATATATAGAAAATGAGTAATGATACATCAGACTTGAAAAATACTACCAACCTACTTGACCTAGTTGACATTCATAGAATACTCCACACCAAATCAGCAGACTACATAGTTTTTTTCAAGTGGGCACATAATATTTATCAAAATAGACCATATTCTCATCTATTACCAGAATTCATTGGCTATAAGACAAGCCTCAATAAATTTAAAAGGATTTCAGTCATCCAACATATTGTTCTGTGACCACAATGGAATTAAATAACAAATTAACAGATCTGTAAAATCTCCAAATATTTAGAAACTAACCAACACACTCCTGAGGAACCCTATTGCTCAAATAAGTCAAAATGGATATTAAAAACGATTTTGTACCGACTGAAACTGAAAACACAACATGTCAACATGTGGGATGTTGCTCATATAGTATTCATCTTCCCCAGTGTCCACTTTCAAGAAACTAGAAAAAAGAAAAGGAAATTCATCACTGAGTAAGGAGAGAAAATGGAATGATAAAGATCAAAGCAGAAATTTTTAAAAAGGAAAACAAAAATAGAGAAGTCAGTGTAATGAAAAGGCACTTTTTAGAGAAGATAAGTAAAACTGATGAACTTCTGGCCAGATTTATCAAGAAAAGACAAGAGAAGACACAAATTATCAATATCAAAAATGAGAGGAATGACATCACTACCATTCTACAGATACTAAAAGGATAATAAGGGAATATTATAAAATACTCTATGTCAATAACTTCAAGATGAAATAGATTCCCTGAAAGACATGAACTACTCCAAAAAATAAGTATGTAATTTAAGTAGCACTATTACAAAAATCAAATCTGTAGTTTAACACTTTCTCACAAAGAAAGCTTCAAGCCCACATGGCTTCACTGGTGAATTCTAGCAAACATTTAAGGAGAAAATAATGCCAATTCTGCACAAACTGTACTAGAGAATTGAAGAGAGGGGAATACTTCCCAACTCAATTTTAAGGCCAACATTCACCTTATGAAAAATAGATCAAGACATTAGAAGAAAGGATAGACAGAAGATCTCATATACTGCTGGCTGGAATGCAAAATGGTACATCCACTTTAGAAAACAGGTAAGCAGTTTCTTAAACAGTTAAATATACACTTAGCATATGATGTAGCAATCCTGCCATTAGGTATTTTACCACCTCCCCCCCCTCCCCC